CAATTTAATAAATTATGCTAGAAGCAATTAGGAGATTTTTCATGTAATGCAGATACATTTCAATTAATATTTTATTAATTTTTAAATTTTTTAATATTTTAATTTGAAATAATATCATACATCTAAAAAAACTATAAAATACTACAGCATATTATATGTACCCTTCACCCAGTTTCTTAGGTGTTAATAATTTAAACATAACCATTATACAACTAACAGAATTTGGAATATATTTTTCTTATAATCTCTTTAATGTTACTTAATCCATTTACTTTGTTTTTGTTAATCTTCACCCAAGGATATTTTTCCATTGAATTTTAGAGAGAGTGAAGGGAAAGGGAAAGACACATTGATTGGATGCCTCCTGCACATGCTTTGATAGGGACTGGGGATCAAGCCAGCAACTGAGGTACATGCCCTTGACTGGAATTGAACCTGGGACCCTTCAGTCCACGGGCTAATGCTCTATCCACTGAGCAAAACAGGCTGCAGCTTAATTCATTTACTTTTAATTTATATGTGTCTTTATATTTAAAGTGGGTTTTGTTTTTGATTCACCCTCATAATCTGTCCTTTAATTGGTGCATTTATGCCACTGACTTTCAGAGTGCTTACTGATAGAGTTACTACCATATCAGGCGGCTTCTGGGTCTTCTGGGTCCCGCCCTGCCTTGCCTTTTTTTCTTCTTTTTTCTATGACATTTCAATTTATTTAAAAGAAGCCAATATACAGGATATAAAGGGTATGATATTTACAACAATACAGTAAATAGGTTGGTTTCCCGGTAGGATCAGTAGTCTTTTAGTGAGTATTAACCCCTGTTCCCCTTGATGCTCGACCCAGCTGGCAGACAAACAGCAACAGTGGGGTGGGATGGGACTGCAGGATAGAAAGTCTCCCTGAAGGGATTAAAAATCACGTAGATGCTAAAATGTCCACGAAGGGGTCTTGGGGGTGAAGGGTGCCTCTGCCTCATTCCTTTGAGGGCTTGGAAGCAGGAATGCTGAAGGATTTGCCCCAAACTAACACACAGCCCACCCTGAGCCTGTAAATCTTTCACCCATGGAATATTCCCTTCCTGAGAGAATCAGCCCTAATCCCTCAGCCAGTGCCTGGAGGAGCTGCCCAGGCCATGGGCACAGCCAGGACTGTGGACATTCATGGCATTTCCACTCCCACTCCAGCTGCCTAACAACTCTGCCCTGCTCCCCTCGCCCACCTCCCCCGTCACCCCATCAGGACACAGTGCACAGGAGGGGACACTGGTTTTCCCATGCCCATTGGGAACTGGCTGTTTCTGTTTTCTGGAGTAAAAAGGTTCCCGTGGGTCGGGTAAGGTCTCTGCTTGGCAAGTTCTGTAACAGAGCCACTGACCACACCCACCTCCTCTGGGCATGGAGCAGCTCGGGCCCTGGGAGCTCATCTCTCTGGCAGAACTGAAGGGAAGACCCTGTGTACCCTTTGGTCCCTCACCCTTCACGTGCCCAGAACCATCAGTGTCACACTTCCTAATTCCTATCACTGTATTTCATTAGTTCCATAGTGTTTTACTAATCATGAATCTAAACAGATTGGTTCAAATAGAGATCGTTCTATTTTTAAAGTAGCTGGGGCTTCTGGGGGAAGGCCTTGCCTTGCAGCCTGGACCCGCTGATGAGCGGATCCTGGGCCCCAAGGCAAGACTCGCTGCAGGGGCTTCTGGGGGAGGGCCTTGCCTTGCAGCCTGGACCTGCTGATGGGCCATTCCCGGGCCCCAAGGCAAGACCTGCTGCTGGGGGCGGGCCTTGCCTTGCAGCCCGGACCCGCTGATTTGTGGTTCCCAGGGCGCAAGGCAAGACTGGCTGCTGGGAGCGGGCCTTGCCTTGCAGCACCGACCCGCTGATGGGCAGTTCCCAGGCCGCAAGACAAGACCGGCTGCTGAGGCTTCTGGGGGCGGGTCTTGCTTTGCAGCCTGGACCGCTGATGGGCAGTTCCCAGGCCTCAAGGCAAGACCGGCTGTTGAGGCTTCTGGTGGCAGTCCCCACTGGGGTGAGGGGCTGAGGGCTGTTTTTAGGTTGCCCGCACCCCCTTTAGGGTGGGGGTCCCCACTGGGGTGCCTGGCCAGCCTGGATGAGGGGCTGATGGCTGTTTTTAGGCTGCCCGCACCCCCTTTATGGTGGGGGTCCCCACTGGGGTGCCCGGCCAGTCTGGATGAGGGGCTGAGGGCCGTTTTTAGGCTGGCGGGTGACTGAAGCTCCCAACCTCTCCTTTTTTTCTTTTTTTTAAATTTATTCTGGGATTTATTTACCTTCTATAGCTGTCACGGGAGCTGAGAGCCGGCTTTAGCTCTGAGGCCGGCTCCAGCTTGAGGCCTCGGCTGCTGAAAGCAGGGTATCTGGGCTTTGTTTAGCTTCTATAATTGAAACTCTGTTGCTATCACTGGCGCTCTAAGCTCTGAGCCCGCTGACTACTGAAAGCAGCTATCTGGAGCTTGTTTAGCTTCTATAATTGCAACATTGTTGCATCCGGAGCTCAGAGCTGGGCTGCCGCAGGCCGGGAACATTGGCTTCCTCCGTCACTGGAGCAAGCAAGCCTCCTGTTCACTTCAGCTGCCTGGCTGCTGGCCGCCATCTTGATTGGCAGTTAATTTGCATATCCTGCTGGTTAGCCAATGGGAAGCATTCGGGGGTATGGTCAATTTGCATCTTTCTCTTTTATTAGTGTAGAAGATAGATCTGAGAGATCTACCCATTAGTGATATTTTGGCCTTTTTCTTACGTAATATTTTCTAAACATAGCTATATTTTTTTGAGCAAAATTAGGAACATACTGAACAACAGCTTAGTATCCTACTTTATTTCATTTAATAGTGTTCCCCAAAAGATTTTCCCCATGTCCTTAAATATTCTTGGAAACATATATTTCTAGTGGTTGGTTAATAATTTTGTAATTTATTTAGCCATTCTACTCTTCCCTATTACAAATAATGCTAAATTGCATATCCTTATACATGAATCTGATTACATCCTGATTATTTATTTTTCAAAGTTCTATTAAAAGAACCTATATTTAAAGGTTTATTGCAGTTTAATTTACATAAAGTAAAATTATTTCAACTTAGGTGTACAATTAATGAGTTTTGAAAAATGCATATAGTTTTTTCCCCACAACACCAGGTGGGAGAAAGATAGCTCAATGCTTATATTTCAGCATTGGGCACTTGAGAGCTAATATTAAGAAAATTGTGGGGGAAAGGAGAGAGGATTGTTTTCTCATCTTCCCTACTAATATCAACTATGCATTTAATCATTATTTCATCTCTCTCTCTCTCTCTCTCTCTCTCTCTCTCTCTCTCTCACACACACACACACACACACACACACACACACACACACTGTACCTTTTATTTTCTTCTGCTTACTTCATTTCAGACAGTTCACTCAGGAAAATAACTATTGTCATCCTCAATTCATACACAAGTCAGAAAATTACCTATCTACCATATGAGTAATGCTATGATATACCTACCTGTATAACCAGAGTCAAAAGGTGTGATGTAATGTTACCTAATAAATAACCAATATAATGACCCATAATTTCCACAATAGATTCTATATATTTTCCTAATTAAGTCAGATTTTTTTCTCAAGTGTTAGTCTTCAAGTTGATTTTACCCATGAACGAACACACATGTGCATATACACACACATACACAGACAGACAACCCAACCAGCCCCAAATTAGAATCACTGATGATGAGAGATGATTTAGGCACAGCCAAAGAAAAAAGAGGCATGGTTTTGGTAGAAAAATACATCTTTTTAAGGCAACTAAGGGGGATTAAACTGGTAAGAAATAGAACTATGGTCAAGTCTTACCTTCCTCTTCCTTAGGATCAAGATCATTGGTAAGCTGAAGTTTGATTGATTTGATCAGTCACTATTTCTCTGAATAACTGTGTCTCTCCTCATTGAACATGTGAGAACGGAGCTGGGGGTGTTCTAGGAGTTCTATGCCAGGACACTCATTCCCTGTCTCTCTACTAACCCTGGTGTGCCCTCCTCACCCAATCCTATCTTACTCTGTTCCTATCAGTCAGAAATACCACTGCTGAGAGTTTTAATGTACAATATAGGGCGTGGTCTGGTACACCTTTTTTACTCCTGGGACTTCCAGCTTCTAATCTCTTTCAATCATCCGTCCAATACAAGTTTATCGACCACCAACCAACCTACTCTGTTCAGCACTGTCAGAGGGATGGGAGCACAATGTGAACAGAACAGGTTGGGCAGTGCCCTCAAAGACTTTCAGTGTAGCTGCCTCTACATCACGTACCTCCTTCATTCTCCACCATCAGGTCTTTTGTCCCCAGAGATAAAATCCTCTCCGAACTCCTAGATATAGCATATATCACTGGTGCCATCTTTTCTGCTATCTCAGTTTCTCACTGCTATCCTAATCCTATCTTGCCAGACATTTAAAAACCTTTGCCACAGCTCTATAGGCCAGCGGTTGTCAACCTTTTAGACCCCATGGACCACCAGTGGTCCACGGACCACCGGTTGGTGACCGCTGCTCCAAAGGTTTCCTTAAACCAGCGGTCGCCAATCTTTTGGACCTTATGGACCACCGGTTGGCGACCACTGCTCTAGGCTGTTTTATGGGGTCCCTCTTGTCCATTTTCTTTTCTTCACATTTCAGTTTCATGCAACCTTCTTCTATGACCCTTTCTGAATCTGTCATGCCAATTCTAGGATTCAGCAATATATTTTATTAAGCTAGATGCTGAGGGACATAATGGCCACTAAGAAATTTCTCCCCTCAAAGAGATAAGTGGTCTGGTCTGAGGAGGCAGCTGCATTGGAGACCCTGCCCCTACTGTGACTAAGGATATTTTAAAATCTGGTTGACTTATGGTGAATCCACCAAATTCTCTTCTGATAGTCTAGAAATAACCTGAACACAAAAATGTGTCTGTTTTTTAACCTGGGACCAATCCCCACTGAGGTAATGTACTCACCTAACTAAGACTGGAGTCTTGGGCATCTTCTTAGACACTTTACAGAAACTTGTGTCTCCTTTGTTGTCAGTGAAGTATATGCCTGCCACGCTGGTCACGAGGTTCCCAGGGAAAGTGAACAGAACCCTTTCATCGTCGCCTTGGTTGGCCCAATCCCAGGCTTGGCCTCCAATGAGCAAACCTCCTCCATGTTTCATAAACTTGACCAACTTTTCAGTCATGGTTTCATTGTAGGCGTCAACACAGTAAACCCCCAGGGAGTCTTTCACTTCCGGTTCAAGCTTTGCCTCCACCCCAGAGCCCTCGAGGATTTTGGCCAGAGGTGCCAGGGATGGGTGTACACCTACGGGGGCCCCAGGGGAAGAACAAAGCCACCCCACTGCATTGAGGAGAAAGGTAGTGAGCTGGGCTTCTACCAAGTAGTCTTCATGGGATACCACCACCAGGCGGCCTCGGCCATAGGAGGATGCAGCAATGAGGACCTGGCCCATGTCATTCAGCATCACTGGGAAGGAAGCCTCTCCAATAAGAAGAAGTTCACATGGGACGGCATCTTCAGGGACATCCCAGCTTGTCACTCCATTCATAAGGGCTTCAAAGGCAGCTGAAGGGGTCGCCATGGTTATGGGCTTCTGCAGAGAGAAAGCAAAGATTCAGCTTGGTGAAGAACAGATAAGCAAACAAACAAATCAGGTCATTACTCTGCTAGCTGGGGCAATTCTTCCATCACCCAGATGAGACTGACATCGTGAAATGACTCAGGCACTCACCAGGGGTGGCAGTGTCTCCAATCTAGAAGACCCCATAGCACTCTGTCCTCTTAAACTCTTGGGGTCAAACTAAAAGGGCTCAATGCTTTTTCATCACCAAAGGAAACAAACAGAAGTGAAGACTGTGTCCCAAAAGAGATACAGTATGTTTAGGTATTAAGCCCAGAACCTGTGAATGTGACCTTGTTTGGAAATAGGGTCTTTGCAGACATGAGCAAGTTAAGATGAGGTCATACTGGATTTGAGGGGACTCTAATCTAATGACTGGTGTCCCCATAAGAAGAGGAAAATTGGACAGAGACACATAGACAGGGGAGAATGCTATGAGAAGAGGACACAGGGACTGGAATGAAACATTTACTAGCCAAGGGATGCCAAAGATTGCTGGCAAACACCAGGAACTAGAAAGAGGCATGGGATGGATTCTTCTTCAGAACTTCCAGAAAGAACAACTTTGCCAACACCTGGACTGAAAACTCATAAGCCTCCAGAACTATGAGAGAATATCGTTCTGTTGTTTAAGCCACCTAGTTTTTGGTAATTTGTTCCAGCAGTCCCCAGAAACTAATACAGTGATGCAGCATGTTTCCCGCCCCTTTCCCACCACTGGGCTCCCACACTGATCTTATTAATCCCAGCTGGGGGAACCCAGAATTTCAGTCTGAAAAGTCTGGGTCCTCAGAGACAGTGCTTTGGCCATAGTCACAACCTGGCTAAGAGGAAAGCAGAAGTCCTCTGTGGCTAGAGTCCAGGTCCCAGATAAGCAGAAGGCAACAAGTTATGAAATTATGGCAGATGCTTACTTGCACCTGTCCAGGTGGAGGAAGGTGTGTATGTCTGTGGATATGTACTCACAAAAATCCTTGGCTTCTACACATGAGCACCCCACTAAGGATACTCTACAGTCTTACTCCACTGTATGCACTTTATTGAAACAGTTCCCCAAGTACAGATGTGTTTCCACACTGTGAACATCCAGGGCTTGTCATCCTCACTGATCACTCTACTCAGTGGCCCTGGGCAGTACTGTTCTCTTGGTCCCTGAGGCTCTCACCACCTCTAACCTTATGACCCAAGCCCACATTATCTGCCACCTCTAGAACCATTTACTTCTTTTACCTCTTCTGAAAAGGTAGGTATTCCTTATGATTTTATCTTTGGCAATTACCATTTTTCTATATCCTTTGTCAGAGAACAGACTCATTCTCAAGGGATTACAAGTTCAGCTCTGGAGTTAGGCTGTGTGGGTCTGAATCTCAGCTTTGCTGTTACTAACTGTGAAATCAGACAACTCATCTCATATTTAGTTTCCTAAATCTTTAAGTAGGGATAATAGGATCTATCACATAAGGTTGTCCTAAAGATTAAAGGAAATTGCATAGGTTAAGTGTCTTTTAATTATTTATTATATTTATGAATATTCAATTATTATATATGTACTAGAGGCCCGGTGCACAAAAATTTGTGCACTCGGGGGGAAGGAGGGGTCCCTCAGCCCGGCCTGTGCCCTCTAGCAGTCTGGGACCCCTCGGGAGATAACGACCTGCTGGCTTAGGCCTCCTCCCAGGTGGCAGAGGGCAGGCCCAATCCCTAGGTGCAGCCCCTGGTCGGGCTCAGAGCAGGGCTGATTGGGGGGCTGGGGCACCACCCCCTGTCACACTCAAGGCAGGGTCGATGGGGAGGTTGCGGCGCGACCCCCTGTCACGCACAGAGCAGGGCCAATCTGGGGGTTGGGGCACTGCCCCCTGTCACACACAGAGCAGGGCCCATCAGGGGGGTTGGGGCTTCGTACCCTGTCATGCACAGAGTAGGGCCCATCAGGGGGTTGGGGAGCTCCCTCCTGTCACGCACAGAGCAGGGCCCATCAGGGGGTTGAGGAGCTCCCCCCTGTCACTCACAGAGTAGGTCCGATAGGGGAGTTGGGGCACCGTCCCCTGTCACACACAGAGCAGGGCAGATCAGTGGGTTGGGGCGCCACCCTCTATCACCCACAGAGCAGGGCCGATCAGGGGGTTGGGGCGCCGCCACTCTCACACTCAGGGCAGGGCTGATGGGGAGGTTATGGCTCTACCCCGTCACACACAGAGCAGGGCCTGGGGGGGCGGGGGGGTTGGGGCGCCGCACCCTGTCACACACAGAGCCGCAGGGCGATCAGGGTGTTTGGGCGCTGCCCCCTGTCATGCTGATCCCGGTGCCGGGAGGCCTCTCAGCTCCGCTGATCCCGGTGCTGGGAGGCATATTACCCTTTTACTATATAGGATAGAGGCCTGGTGCATGGGTGGGGCTGGCTGGTTTGCCCTGAAGGGTGTCCTGGATCAGGGTGGGGGTCCCCACTGGGGTGCCTGGCCAGCCTGGGTGAGGGAATGATGGCTGTTTGCAGCTGGTCACACACCCTTCAGGGTGGGGGTCCCCACTGGGGTGCCTGGCCAGTCTGGGTGAGGGGCTGAGGGCTGTTTTCAGGCTGGGGGTGACTGAACTCCCAAACGCTCCTTTTTTCCTTTTTTTTTTTTTTATTCTGGGCCAGCTTTAGCTTGAGGCTTGGCTCCAGCTCTTAGGCCTCTGCTCCTGAAAGTAGGTTTCTGGCCTTTGCATACAATGTTGCGAATCTGCTGGCTGAAGTCCGGCGGTATTTGTTACAATGTTTGAAACTGCAGGCTCAGAGGCCAGGAGCCGCAGGCGGGGAACGTTCGTTTCCTCCGTCACTGAGGCAAGTAAGCCTCATGTTAGTTTCAAGCTGCCTGGCTGCCGGCCACCATCTTGGCTGACAGTTAATTTGCATATCTCGCTGATTAGCCAATGAAAAGGGTAGCGGTCGTACGCCAATTACCATGTTTCTCTTTTATTAGTGTAGATATGCGCATATAGAAATACACGCACATATCTATGTATACTAGCTTATAATTATTTGGTTAAATGTAAACTAAATATGTGCATAATAGAAAATTCTTATAAAGTAAACAAAAAAACTAACCTAATATTAGATTTTACAAACACTGAATTAAGCATTTATTGATTCTGATTTTTATAGTTTTCATAATTTTGGAGCCAATACTAATACTAATTAGTGCTCTATTGAGTTCTCAAGTATTTCTATGAACCCTTGAAAAAGCCCCTGGCACAGGTACCATGCCCTGGTCCTAATGTAACTGGTGAAGAACAGATAAACAAACTCAAGGCCTCCGTGCAAGAGCCACTCTCTGATTGGCATCAGTCTTTAAAAGTAAAGAAGTCTTACATTTATTCTTTTCCCTCCAAACTAGCTTCTCTTTGGTAATTTCCCAAGCTTGATGTCCCTAGTTGTTAAAGAGGATAACCTCTAGACCAGAAAACTACCTAGAAGATACAGTCAGCAAACATTTCGTTAATAAGAGCTTGTCTCTTCCCTGCTCCTCCTGGTGTTCACAAATAACCAGGACAGCAAGCCACAGAGTCACAGTTGTATCCCTTCTGCCCCTGCTCCATATCCTGTCAATGTCCTCATTCACAATTCCCAATCATGCTGCCACTAACCTAGTTCAGGTCCTCAGTAACTCACTCCTTCACTAAACTGATCCAGTTTCTCTGTCACCAGTTACCTGTTGTTACCTCTATTCTTCTAAAGCTACCATTATGTCTCAGAAGAGAATCCCTTAGACCTCATCTTGGCCCACAGGGGAAAATCTGAGCAGTACTGGGGTGTGAAGCTTCCAGGGCTGGCTGCTCCTTACTTTTCCAGTTGTATCTCCTGCCACAATCTCTCTACAGCTTCCAGAACACAGGGCATCCCTGGACATGCCCTGCTTTCACTTTTGTAGGGAGCGGCTCTAGGGTCAAGCCTTGGGCTGACCTGTGGCAGGGCCACAAACAAGTCCCAGCCTGGAGGGCAGAGCTCCTCTAGCATAATTAAGCCTGACCTTGTTACCCTCCCTAATTCCTTCCTAAGTAGCTAATGGGCTGTGGGAGGTGCAGCAAGTGTTGCCAAAACAAGAACATTTGTATACATGTTAATCTACCCTTGTTTTAATCAGACTATAAAATAAAGCAGGCTGGGTCTTTCTGTGTCCTCATCCAGGCATGGGAGATCCACCGAGCCCCAGCTGTATTCTCTTGTCTGTCTTTTCTTCAGTCCTTCACCACCCCTCCTCAGGTTCACCATTGGCCGTGCTGGCGCGGCACACACTTTAGATTCTCTTCCCATTCTGTCTCATCCTGCTCCCTCTCCCATGTCTTTCTACCTGTTGAAATCCTATCCTCCTAAGAGAAGATATTCACGGAAGAGGGAATTTATATGGCCAGTCAGTCTATGAAAATATACTCAATCTCACTGGTCAGGCAAAGGAAAATATAATGTATGTTGCCCATATTGTCAAAAAAGGAGGTGGTGAAGACAGAAAAGAAAGTGAAGAAGACAAAGGCAGCTAATAATGTCTAATGTCCAAAAGGCTTTGGGGACGTCACATCTGCTGAAAGGGCTGAAAAACTGACAACCATCTAACAGTGGCAATCAGTTTCAAAGGTGTACCTATCCTTACACCAGTGAGCCCTCTTCTACTAACCTTTCTTAGATATAAGAGTAGCTCTATTAAAGTGTATATACAAGGATGCTTGTCTTCACAAAAAACTGACCTAAAAATTGAGATAGATAAGTGACAAGGAATGTTTCTTGGAACTAGTTTTGACTCCTGTGGGTACAGACAGGATCTCTAACCCAAAACCACATTTTTATCCACATATCCTGCCCCTATAGCCCACTGTGCTGCAACATACGACCCTGGGGCATAGCCCCCACCAGCCACCCATACACTTTCCATGAAGAGCAACTCTTAGACCTCTTCTCTCTGGGACTATGTTGCTGCTGGTATTGCTATTTTTGTCTCTCTGATTGTCCTCTGAGCTAGTTCCCAGAAGAAATATCTGTGAAGTGACAAGGGATAGGCAGGTGGCTTGGAGATCTGAAAAGTAGGGGACTAGGGAAAAGAGGAGGGTTTTTCCTGACAGGTCTCCTCCTCCTACCGTTCTGGGCTGGACTGCTGACCCAAGGTGAGTGGGGTATGCCTGGGCTCCCTTTCTCTCTGCCAGTTTCCCCGTGTGTGAGGCTGTGGGGTCCACCCTGGTCTGACACCAATGCTGTGTACATGGCAAGACAACGTTTGAGAGGGAGAATACTTGAGACAAGTATGATAATATGCATGCTAGAGTATTGTATAGCTCTTACAAAGAATGAGTTACATCTATTTTGTACCTACCTAGAAGAATGTCCTAGGTATATTTTAAGTGAAATTTTCAAATCATCATAATATAGAGGACACAAACCCATTTTGGTATGGATGCAGATAATAATAGTAGTAGAACTAATAATTTTTGTAGGTAGTAGTAATGACAAGACAGTGCTAACCAGGTTCCCAGCATTCTTATAAGTGCTTTACATAAATTGTTTAATCCTGATGAGGTATGTGTTGTCACTTTCCCTATTTATATATGGGCAAAACCACAAAGAAAACAAAAAACCTGCCCTACAGAGAATCTGTTACTTGCTTAAGTAACACAGGTGGTGGTGGAACCAGCCTTCAAAACACAGGAAATCTAGTTCTGAGGTCCACATTTTTAAGTACCAGCAACAGATAAGCCTGTTAAGTCCCTGTTTCTTATATAGGTAGAAAGTCTATGAAGCTACATTTCAACATACTAACATTAGGAAGGGGAGAGGCAAACAGTATTCTTTCCCTTTATACAAGTCTGCATCCTTTCAATTGTTTTCTGTATTACTGTTACAATTAAAAATAGCACAGGTAATATAAAATCAATGAACCAAGTAAATACACTCTGATTTACTATATAAATTAGATTGACCAACTGATCCTATCTTACTTATCCCAAATGTCTTCTCTTCCCAACAAGTTGTCCATTTGCCCACCAATAAATTTGATTTTTCTCTGTGGGGGTTCTTTGAGCTTTGCAGTTGGTTCTATTCCCTCTTTAACCAGCTATGGGTAACGCCGACACTTGACTTTTGAACCAAATGTCTGTGTCGCTGTTTACCCTCCAAGCTCAGATGGACACAGCCTGGAGAAACCCCTTTTACTTCTCCCCTGAAGTTCTTCATCGTTGCTTCTACTTCCATGGATCCTGCATTCTCTCTTTCAGGCCTACCAACTTCCTGCAACCCAAGGCACCTCTAAAACAGACAGTACCCCAGGCACAACTTATAACTCAGGGAGAGAGCTTCACAGATCCCCTACCCCTGCCACAAAGTGATCCCATGGTACTTAAATAGGATTTCCCTTAAGCAAGTGCATAAATATAGAGAGGAAGGAGGGCAGTGGCCCTGTCTTGCTTATTGTACCATATCCTACATTATAATTTCATTTCAAATCCCAAAAGTAGGGCAAGTGTCTGAGGTCAGGTTCTTTGGATTTCCTAGGATAATGAATAGTCTGTAGATGGGATTGAATGAATGATGGATATAAGGTGTGGGTGTAAGGGTCAACCTAGAATGATTTCTTTAGCAAACAGCTACCCTGGCCTTGAAAAATGATGCATGTCAGAAACATCCAATTTGATAGATCTCTTCTTCATGCCGTTTTCTTCCATGAAACCTTTTTTCTTTTTCCTTATATGTTTTAAAATGTCCCTGAATTTTTCTTAAGCCAGAATTAGTGTGGGTGCAACCTCTTTTGTATTCTGTCTGAGATATTCCCAGCTCAATCTTAATGATTTTCACTTAAAAATGGTTTAATTCATGTATTTAAAAGAATATGTAATGCATGTGGAAGGATATGGATGGTAAAATAATAATAAAATAATTTTAAAATTTAACAGACTCTCATATACCACTACTCAGCTTAAAAAACAGACCATTCCTATTATCTCTGAAGGTCTGCCTGTAGCTTGCTGGAATCACTCCCTCCCCCATTCTCATAAAAGCCATTCAAAACTTTGCTTTTTCTATTCCCTTGTTTTGATCTTACTACACTCCCTTCTGGAGTCCCGAGTTCCCCTGGGGCTCTTTCTTACTCGTATTTGCTCACTTATCTCATTGCCAGAATCCCAGCTGAACAGCAAAATGGAGGATCACTAGCCCAGGCGGGAGAAGGCCTGTTTTGTGTTTTAAAAATTCTGGTGCTGCCTCCTCTTAGCTGTCGATCAGTCTGTCTCAGAGGGTGTTCTACCAAATGCACAGTGCTGGACAGGGGCGGTCTACAGTCCCAGGGCTGTCACTACTAAGCTCTGGTGTGTGATCCCTCTCCTCCACTTCCTCTGCAGGCCCTCACCCAGGCCAGACTTTCCTTCCCAGGCGCAGAGCCAGTCCACAAAGAGCAAGTCGGTGACGTCAGAGGAGTGGAGGGGGCCTTAGGTAGGGGAGGAGTGGCGCAGAGAGGAAAAGCTGGGGTTGGCAGGGAATTCTGCAGGCTCGCTGGCGCTGAGGTTTGGGAGGGACCAGTGGCCCCTCTTCCACAGATTCCAGGCTCCAGGGGACCTGTGCTAGTGGATGAGAGATCTTGGTGCCAGGCAAGGTGTTGGTAAAGATCAAAGGGCAGTCGGGCAGAAGTGATGCTCTGTCACCAGCCACCTGTGTGACTCGGAGCCAGCCCAGCCTCCTCCCTGGGCCACGGTATTCTCATCCCCTAAAGCTTCGAATTAGATGCTTTTCCTCCAGCTCAGGCTTGTGCATAAATCAACGACACAAAGCAGGTAAACAAACATCATACATACATCAGGGCCCGGAGGAGCACTGCGGCAGGCGCGACGCAGAGCCCGTGAGCAGAGAACAATCGCGAACAGGACTGCGACACAAACAGCGAGACATCTGTCCCCGGTTTGGGCTCACGCAGGTCCACCAGCAGCCTCCTCGGCCTCCCGCACCGTCCGCCCCCAGACCCAGGCCCATCCGCCACTACCGGCCCTCCTCGGGCCTGCGGGCATTCGAAGAGGGCCACTCACCTGGTCGCCCTGCAATTTACAACCGGGCGGCTGGGGAGGGTGGGGTGGGGTGGGGGGGAGCAGCGCTGGATGCAGAGGGGCGCGCGCGGTGCGGGGGGAAGGGTCTTCTCTGCCGGGAGCGCCGGGGCGAGGTGGGCAGAGCTCGGAGGAGATGGAGCGGGAGCAGAGGAGGGGTTCCCGAGCAGTCTCCTCCTCCCCACTTCCTCCAGGGCGGGATCGAGCCCGAGGGGCGGCGCCTGGCAGGGGACAGCTCTTCTTTGTGTCCCGGTCCTGTCAGCTGGACACTACGGCGGCGGCCCCCATTCGGGTGGCAGTGGGACCGGCCGTTTTATTCAAGACATAAACTTCTCTCACTATTCACTGATACCGAAAAGCTGAACAAACTATAGGACACATTCTATGGAATATTATTCAATTCTTATGAAGAGCTCAGATTTCCTTTCAGTGGGAGGAATGTACTTGAAGTATTGCCAAGGGAAAAATAAAAACTGTAGAAATTATTTAGTATGCTTTCATTTTTAAATAAAAACAGCCCTGTGCATATTTGTATCATGGTGGGAGAAGGGAAGGATACATCTCTATGTGGTAATACTGTTTAACCAGAGGAACTGGGAAAGGCAGCTTTTATATAGCACTACATTGTTTGCATTGTTATATGTTACTTTTGTAAATCAAAAATAATATATTTCAAACAACAGGTAGCTAAAATTTATTCATCAGTGTACATTTCAAACCCTATTTCTTTCTTGTAAGTCCTGGTAATGATCCGTTGACAGATGTCCTCCCTTCTATAAATTGCAAGTTCCTACTTAGTGTGGTGACTTCACCTGGCTCAGGTGCTACTTCTAGCCTGTGAAGTCAGGGTAGTATAGTGGTTAGAAGCCCAGACTTTCACCAGATGGCCAGGATTCAGACCCCAGGGCTGCATTTTATGGGCTGAGTGACTTTGAGCAATTTACTTAATTCCTTTATGCCTCAGTGTTATTACCTGTAAAATGGGGAGGATGAAATGAGTACCTATATTACAGATTTATTGTAAGGTTTGAATTAGGTGAGTGGATTTGTAAATTTCTTCAATCACTATCTGGCAGATAGTGAGACTGTATGATCTTCAGATCATCCTAAGAATCAATATTTCATGTCTCAGGAAAATGCATATCTTTTTAATTCTGATGAAGGTTTTGGTTCCAATTGAAGTCATATTCCCTTTCCCCATCTCCCTTCAACCTCTTTTCCCCAAATTGACTCATATAAACATTAATCAACAGGGGAATGTGGGTAGGTGAGCTCCGTGGCAGGGTTTACACAGAGAAAATACCAGAAAGAGAAATCAAGAGAGCCCGAATTCAGGATCCTGGTCTGTGTGGGATCACATGATTGACAGTGAGCAGGTCCTTGATATTCTCCAGGGCTGAGGGTTCTCAGATAAACAAGGCGGGCTGGCCACTTGCTTGCTAAGTCCCTTTCAGGTCTGAAATGCTACGACTAATAGCACCAAAAGGTAGAACCCCAAAATACTGAGTTTTAGAAAAAAATAAAAATAAAAAACGCGTATATACATGGGAAGGATAGCACCTGACTTACCTCTGAGGAAGGGGACATGAGATTTGGTGGGGGAAAAAGATCTTACTTGTCAGGTTTTGTTTCTCAGAAAGGAACACACACACACACACACACACACACACACACACACACACACACACACACACAGCTGAAGCAAAGGTGATAAAATGTCAGTCTCTGATACAGGGATATATCAGACTCCTGATAGTTAGGGTCCTGTAGAATACAGCACGCAATAATTAAGAACCATCGCAGTAGAAAAACGCAGAAACTGACACGGAGAAAACGCAGGTAATCTTTGGAAAACATCTGCTTCCTTAGGCCCAGCGGTCTCAGGCCCCAAACCCGACCACCTCCGCGGCCCGCCAGGCTCCCCTTCCCCAGTGCTCCCCCGGCCCCGGCCCTCCCCTCCCTCTTCCACCCGGGACCACTGGGCTCGGTCAGTGCGCCCGGGCCTGCTCCGGTTCCAGAAACCATTACTGAACAAGACTCACCGGTTGTCCAGAAATTTCCACACCGGCTACTTAGGAGGGGGAAGGGACTCCTCTGCAGAGATGTGACGAGGAGAGGGGACAGACAGCCTGAGGATTAGAATATTGGTGGCGGCGGCGTTGGGAGCCTGGTCGGGGAGGTGGTCTGTGGTGCAGAGCGGGGCGAGGAGGGGGCCTTCCTGGGAGCTGATTGGCAGCCCTGGCGGTGGGGGCGGAGCCTGGTCGCCCCCACCTCTCCCGACTGCAGTGGCCCCGCTTTGTGTCAGTGGCTGCATCAAGATGCAGCCCCAAATCTAGGACGGAGACACTGGCGCCTGCACCAGGAGTGTGGGAGGGTTAACCGTTGAAAAATAAACCCGTGAGACTATTTACTAACAAGGGAGTGGGTAATAAATTATGATAAATCTTTATATAAAACAATACACAGCTATTTGCAAGGATCAGTCATATCTCTATATATTTGCCAGATGTTGGGCTATATTTATTCTCATTTTAAATAAACATTTAACGTGTTAATAAAATGAAGAGTTTGCATTTGTGTACAAAAACTTTAAAAATATTTTATATACATATATAAATATAGAAATTATATGAAAACCCTACATCAAACTATTAGAATCAGTATGTCAGACAGGAAAGAGTAGCTTACTTATAAGTATTTTTCTTCATATACTTCATTAAAGTCTTAGTATTAGTATGTATTATTTTGTGAGAAAAATAGATAAATTTAATCAACTAAAAATAGGTAAAATATTCTTGCTCACACAGCTGGTAGTGTCCACTCTATAAATATGATTTCTCTCTTTGTGTGGGCTTCTTGACCTTTGTTCCTAGTCCTGACTCATTTTAATCAAGTAAGAGTGGAACCCAGCACTTGACTTGTGAGCCAGGACCAGGCTTTATGCCTGACCAGGTCCTGCCTTGAACCAGCGTCCCCTCATCTAGCTTTGTGAGCTCAAGTTTAGATCCTGGGGGAAAACCATTTGTCCCTTTCTATGGTTGGCCCCAAAGCCCTGAAAGATTTGTGTGGTCTCTGGACATTCTCCTGCTTCCTCACCCCTCACCAATCATCTCTCTGGCCTCTGTTCTCAGAGTTCCTAACTGACCCTATGAAGAGATCATTAAAAAGCTTTCTCCCGACCACAAAACAGTGACTAGGCTGGACCTTGCACGGGAATGTGGATTCAGTGGTAAAGGGGATAGAGAACCACATCCTGTAATTACTTGAGGATTTCATTACAATCCTCAAACTAGAGTAAGCATAAGCCAAGAACTGTGTTTTTTCCTTCTTTTGATTCTCCACTTCATGTAGCCATGAACGGGTGCTTTGTAATGTCCTCTTGATGGATTGATGGTCAAAATAGATGGATGTGCTTAGGAAGGCAATCCTAGGATCACTCCTCAAAAAACAAACAAACAAACAAACAAAAAACAGCCTGGACGGTGTGGCTCAGTGGTTGAGCGTTGACCTATGAACCAGGAGGTCATGGTTCCACTCCCAGTTAGGGCACATGCCCAGGATGCAGGTTCGATTCCCAGGAGGGGGCGAGCAGAAGGTAGCCGATCAATGATTCTCTCTCGTCATTGATGTTCCTATCTTTCTCCCTTTCCCTCTCCCTTCTTCTTTGAAATCAATAAAAATATATTTAAAGAAAGAAAAAAAATATAGCAACTTGATGTAGGAAACTTATTAAATTACAAATTTCCTGTATTGAAAGTTTTTTCCTCTTCTTTGTGCTCCTTTAATTTTCTCCCTTAAACCTTTTCTTTCTATATCTCCCCAAATTTCAGTGGGTTCTTTCCTCTCTTTCTCTGTTTCAGACTTAACATTAGTAACTCAATTTTAAATCCTCTCTCACTCCCTATTTATAATTGCTCTAGAGTTTCTGTTTTTTTTCCAGTTTCTGCCCTGAGTAATAGAGACTACCATGAAATCTTTAAAGTACTGAAATGATTTTTAAAATATTAAGTTGTATAAATACTCAGCAATATAAGAATGAATGAACACTTTATTAAAAATCATACTACAAAATATTATGTGGTTCTTAAAAAGGATGAGCTTGAGGAATGCTTTCAATCTATTTTCAGTGAAAAACTATGATTATATTTGTTTAATTGATTTTTTTTTTGAGAGAGAGAGGGAGAGGAAGAGAGAAAAATGGATGTGAGAATGAAACATCAGTCCACTCCCTTTACTGGGGATCGAGCCTGCTACCCCTGGCACATGCCCTAATGGGGAATCAAACTGGCAACCTTTTGGTACACGGGACAATGCCCAACCAATTGAGCCACACAGTCCAGGGATGATTCTGTTTTTTTGTTTATGTCTACCTAACAGGAAAAATAAGGACATATTTAGTGACTTCAGGAAGTGGGGAAGGTAGACCAGTAATTTTTTTCTTTAGACATTTCATATTTTAAAAATGTTACAAAAATCATTTTGAAAACAAACATGGCCATTCACTCTTATTTATATACCCAATAGAATTTATATACACACATGCCACCAAAAGACATGTTCAACGCCCCACCAGCCATATAGTCTAAAACCAGAAGCTACCCAAGTGCTACCCTTCCTACTTTCTCACGGATAGGGCACCCTGGCACTGTCTTCTATCATAAGATTCTTAAAATTTTATTTTCAGACCAACAAATACTGAAGTGTTATTATAAAAGGTCTGCTTTGAAGAAATTCTAAAGGATGTAGCTCAAGAAGAAATAAAATAATCTTTGATAATCTGAGATGTGAGATAAAACAGTGAGAGACTTCCAATGCTGGCACTGAGAGAATACCTTGTTTGGAAAAACCATCCTGCTGAAAATAGCAATAAAAGTTGAATAAAATATAGGAAACAATGGAAGATTCTGAAGAGCCAACAAAACAAGTAGGATTTGAAAAGTTCTGATCTTGAGGGAAGGAAAATAAGAC